CCCAGAGAAACCCTGTCTCGAAAAACCAAAAAAAAAAAAAAAAAAAAAAAAAAAAAAAAAAAAAAAAAAAAAAAAGAAAGAAAGAAAGAAAATGGGAAAGCACAAATTTAAGGCCAGTTAAAACTTAGGCTAAATTTAAAAATGGTTGTCTTGCCGGGTGTTGGTGGCGAATGCCTAAAGTGCATCCCAGCACTCGGGGGGGGGGGGGGGGGGGGCAGAGGCAGAGGCAGAGGCAGGCAGATCTCTGTGAGTTCGAGGCCAACCTGGTCTCCAGAGCGAGTGCCAGGATAGGCTCCAAAGCTACACAGAGAAACCCTGTCTCAAAAAACCAAAACCAAACCAAACCAAACCAAAAAACGGTTGTCTGAATGGATGTCTGTACATCATATCATGTCTGGTGTCTACAAAGGTCTGAGCTGGAGTTACAGACCATAGTGAGGGGCAATATGGGTGCTGGGAATTGAACCAGGGTCTTCTAGAAGATCATTCAATACGTTTAACCACTGAGCTGCCTCTCCAGCCCCAGAAAAAGTCTTAACCACAAAACAAAGTAAAACAAAATTGCTATTTAAGGATCTGTAGTCCCAGCACATTGGAAGCCCAAGGCAGTAGGATTGCCATGGGTTTGAGGCTATCCTGAACTATATAGAGAGATCTAATTGTCAAAAAAAAACAAAACAAAAAACAAAAGTATGATTATTTTAGGCTGGCCTGGAACTCATTAGGTAGAACAGGCTGGCTTAAACAGTCCTCCTGCCTCAGCTTTCCAAATGCTAGGATTCACATCCAGCTGTTTTTCCTTTTTTTTTTTTTTTAATAGTAATTAGGATTTCAAGCCATACTGGTTTTCTAAACAAAGCACAATAAATGGTGAACTTAAACAACAGAAATGTAATTTTTTTCACAGTCCTAGAAGTTAGAAGCTCCAGATCAAGGTCTCCGCTCTCTGAAGGTTCTGGGAAAAGGTCCTTCTTTATCTCTTCTGTTTCTGGTAATGGCTGCCAGTCCTTGGTGTTCTGTGGCTTACAGGTGCTACACTCCAGTCTTTGTCTTCATGTTGCCTTCTAAGTACATTTGTCTGAAATTCCTTCTTAGATGGGTATCAGTGGTTAGAGTAGGGATAATCCTAATTCAGTATGACCTCACTTGAACTAATGATATCTGCAATACTCTCTTCCTTTTTCTTTTTGTTTTGTTTTTTTCTGAGATAGTGTTTCTCTGTGTAGTCTTAGTTGACTTGGAATTCACTCTGTAGAACTCTTAGAGATCCACCTGTCTCTGCCTTCTAAGTGCTGGGATTAAAGCATGTGCCACCACTGCCTGGCTACAAATATTCTATTTGTATTAGTTAATTTTTTGTTGTTTTGAGACATGATCTCACTATGTAGCCCTGGTTGGTCTGGAACTTGTTATGTAGACCAGACTGGCCTCAGACTCACAGAGATGTACTTGACCCTGCCTCTCAAGTGTTGGGATTAAAGTTGTGTACTGCCACACCTAGATGAGACTAATTTTAAATGAAGTTTGAAAATATTTTAAGATGAAAAACTTCAAAGTTAACTGTAGCAGGCTTTCTATTGGGCCACCAACCAGCTCCCAAATTATGACACAGGAATTTATTAGTTATGAATGCTTGTTACCACTAGGTCTTATAACTTAAATTAACCTGTTTCTCGCCATCTATGCTTCCCCTCAGGGCTTTTTACCTTTCTTTCCCTGTGTATGTCTTATTCTGTGTCTTGTAGGCTGGCAGCAGCCTGGCTGGCTGGCCCCTGGCATCTCCCTTTCTTTCTCCCTCATTCTCTCTTTTCTCTATTGAGCCTAGATTCCTTCTCCTACTAATTCTCTCTCAACACCAGCCCTGCCTATCCTCTACTACTTAACTACTGGCCATTCACCTTTTTATTAGACCAATCAGGTGCCTTAGGCAGGCAAAGCAACACATCTTTACATCATTAAACAAATGCAACATAAATATGACCTGTCTTTACATAGTTAAAGCAATATTCTACAACAGTTAACTGTATTGTCTCAAAAGCCTGTCTTCAGGGTGTTATCTAGTGATACATTATCCCTGCCAGATTTTCATTTGTTTTATCACATTTACATCCTCTCCCCCTTCATGTAGCCCAGACTAGCCTCAAAGTTGTTATATAGTTGAGAATGGCCTTGAACTTCTATTCCTACCTGTACTTCCTAAGCACTGGAATTACAAGTGTCTTATCGTGTCTGGCTTTGAACATTTGCTTTTTAGCATTTTTTTTATTTAATCAAGCTGTGCTTTAATTTTTACAACTATTTTGAACCTGCCTGTCTTCCTTTACCATTTTTAGATAGGGTCTCTCTGGCTGGCCTCAAATTCTTGATCCTCCTGACCCAGCCTCCCCACTGCTGAAATTGTAGGCATGTGTAACCACACCAATCTAAACCGTGCTTTGAAATTATTTTCCGTTTAGGAAGTTGAGAGACTTACTGAGCGACTAGAAGAAAAAGAGAGGGAGATGCAGCAGCTGATGAGCCAGCCTCAGCATGAGCGAGAGAAGGAAGTTGTCTTGCTTCGGAGAAGTGTGGCAGAGAAGGAACAAGCCAGGGCTGCCAGTGACATTCTGTGCCACTCCTTGGCTGATGAGACCCACCAACTGCGCAGAACATTGGCTGCCACTGCCCACATGTGCCAGCATCTGGCCAGATGTCTGGATGAACGACAGCATGCACAGGGAGACATTGGGGAGGGAAGCCCCAATGAGGTAGGCAGTGTAACTAAGTCAAGTGAAGACTTCTGGTGTGCTAAGTCATTGCCTGTCATGATCTAAGACTCCTGTGCTCACTAAGGTCTAGGGGTGCCACAGAACCCATTCTGTTCTCAGTGAGGAGAATAAGCTTGCTTAAATATGACAGGAAATTTGAGTGGCTTGCCTCCCCAACTCCCAGCATTGTCTGTAGCTGATCCTGCATGCATGTGGAGATCACACTTTGGTCTTTTCTGCCACTGAGGATAGGAAGGAAGAGCTGGGGACAGAGGGACTGCCCACAGGAAGTGTTGTTACATGTATATTTAGCAAACAAAGAAACTGAGGCAGATCTAGGTGATATTGCTGAGGAGGAGCAATGCCTCCACATGCCACATATGCAGAGTCCAGGCCTAAAGCTGCTGAAGATCCATAAGCGCCAGCCTTTTGTAGACTCCATGTAGACTGAGTGGTAAGAGTTGATCCAGCCACAAGCCTCATGGAGAGCCAGAACTTCTGTTGCCAGAAACATGGCCTGCCATATGCTAGGAAACCTGTCACCCTCAGGGCTACAACTTCTTCATTATCACATGACATAGAACATCTTCATGCCTCAAAAGTATGAGCCCCATGTAGACACTATGTGAGGTGGACAGCAGATGGTGACAGAGGCGCCAGAAGGGCCAGGTTGCAATAGGGACCCAAGAAGAACCCTCTGTGCCTCCAAGCCAGGATAGTTTGGTGGAGAATGGCCCTGATTCTGACCTTGTGTGAAGCACAAGGTTTTGGCATTGGGCATCATAAGGTGGTCATGGGAAGAGATGCATCTTGAAAACCAGAGGACTTCTGGACAGGAATAGCAGGTGGAATAGATGGAACCAAGACTCAATGTAGGTCAGGTACTGGGCATGGTACTTTATTTCCTGCTTCCAGGTGGTACTGATCTGTATGTAGCTGACAGGGAAACAGGTACATATGGCATACCTTGCCTTAGTTATCAGTGGGTGTATTTGTGATTTTTGTGTTACTGTGACTACAGTATCAACAGATATAACTTCAGGGAGGGTTTCAGTATAACATGGTGGGGATGGCATGGCCAAATTCATGCTAATGGGGACTTGTGACAGAGAATCCTCACATCATAGCAGACCAGGAGCCACACAGAGAGACAGAGACAGACACAGAGAGAGAGAGACAAAGAGACAGAGATAGAGAGACAATGAGACACTGGAACTAGGGGAAGGGTATCAGCTTCAAAGGCTTGTCCTAATGACTTCTTCTGACTGCTAGGCTACACTTACTAAGCTTCTATAGCCTCTACAAATGGCACTATCAGCTGGGGATCAAGCTTTCAAATTATGAGCCTGTGGAGAACATTTCTGATTCAGAATATAACAGTGGACCAGGCTGAGTCTACATCTCATGTATACTGTGCCACACAGAGCCTCTAGTTCACTCCCTTTCTAGGAAATTCTCTGAGATTGCAGCAGTATTCATGAGACTGTATGTGTTCCGAGGAAAGGGGACATACAGATACCAGGAGCTTCTCTAATGTATAGAAAAACTTAGTCAAGAATCATGTCTCAGTTGGATGTCACAAAAAGATCACCCAAAAAGGAATACAGTTGTATTCATTGCTGGATAGGAAGAGGTGGGTGCTCTTGTCCAAGTTTGTATCACTGTAACATTCTCTTTCAAGATCTTGAAGAAGCCTCACACTGTGATCAGCCTGAGGTGGGTGCTGAATTATGGCAGATGGGCACCTCATGTCTCTTAAGTCAGTATCACTTCTCAGCCCTGGACTTGGCTGAGTCATCTGGGGCTTCCCAGTAGACTGGGTTAGGACATGCACTTCCTGTCATTCAAGGGGAATTCTTAAAACTAATGTCAGTGATTTACAGTCCTCTGTACTGTTCAGAGCTGGAATTTCTGGGGTATAGAGTATGCCCCAGAAAAGTTTTATGAGATTTTACAGCTGGGTCAGCCAGCTGCTATTAGGGGTTGGTTTGGGGTGTGGCTTCTGTGAGTGAATGGCCCTGATTCTAACCCTGTGTGAAGCACAAGTTAGGTTGCCTCATCTAGACTGGTTTGCTCATCTACAGGCAGGATTTCTGTTTTGATGACTCTGAAGGAGGTAAGACTGATCTGTGGCCAGACCCAACCTAGGGACCTGGAAAGCCTCCTGGATGCTGGGGTGTGTTATGTCTCTGTTAGAGAGTAAAATTATGTTCCCATCTACTCTATTGCCTGTGATGTTAAATAAGCTCTGGCACTGTGAAGGTTTTGTTACAGCTGGTATACCTATTCCTTTAGACTTGATGACAACAGAATGTTTAGGTCCAGAATATTTAAAATACAAATAGCTCATGTTGGTAGGTAGGAACAAGGGCAGTATCAAGAGCGATAGATCTAGAGACTCTGCCAAGGCCATCTCCTGGCCTCCCTCAGTCAGCAGTGGGTCTAGGAGGAGCTGGACTTGCAAAGTCCTTTTTTGTATCTGTTTTACTTCTCCATCAAGTGAAGAGTCACCACCTCCTACGCTGCAGCTGCAGTGACGGTCTGTGACCTCAGCCTATGGCTCTAACTTCTCCTTTTCTGTGTGTGATACACAGTAACAAGGCTTCTCTTTGTCTCTTATGTAGCTACGACATACAAGCAGGAATGCTTCTGGCAAGAGTGTTATTGAGAAGTTACAGGAAGAAAATCGACTATTAAAACAAAAGGTGACTCATGTGAGTATCTAACATCCCATTGAGGAGGAAAATTAACCCTGACAAATGGCAAAAGATTTTCCTTTAGCTGGTGCATAGAGGTGGCATCTGCTCCCTGGCTGTTTTAACAGAGGATGTATAGATCCTGACTTTCTCTGTCCTCCCAGATTAACTAGTCAATAAAGGAAGTGCAAGAATTACCATCAGGTAGTAATTTTTGAGTGTGTGTGTTGTGTATGAATATGTTTGTACTTGCATGTGGAGGCTACAAGTTGATACTCCCCTCCACCCCCCCTCCCGTTTTTTGAGACAGGGTTTTTCTCTGTAGTTTTGGAGGCTTAGAACTCTCTTTACACAAAGGAAAGGGAAAGGGAGGCAGTTTCGTAAATTATTGCTGATAATCACAGTTCCATATTGGCTTGAGCAAGCGTGTCTCCTGGTTCTGTCTTTTCAGGTAGAAGACCTCAATGCTAAGTGGCAGCGTTACGATGCCAGTAGGGATGAATATGTGAAGGGGTTACATGCACAGCTAAAGAGGCGGCAGGTCCCTCATGAGCCTGAGCTGATGAAGAAGGAGATTTCCAGGCTTAATAGACAGTTGGAGGAGAAAATAAATGACTGTGCCGAAGCAAAACAGGAACTGGCAACTGTGAAGATGGCCCGGGACACTGCGCTGGAGCGAGTGCAGATGCTAGAGCAGCAGGTGTCCTCAGGCTCTGGGCAGGGCTGAAAGGGATGTTTGCCTACAACACAGATGGCCATAGTCTTGGGACAGCCTAGGCTAAAGGCTTGGTAATCCTGGGTGGGATACCTCATGGAGTAGTGGGAGAATCAAGGTAAGGATTTTCTCCTTCCTTGAATAGAAATGAGCATTCTGTCTTTTCTCAGATTCTTGCTTACAAGGATGACTTCAAATCAGAAAGGGCAGATCGGGAACGAGCTCATAGTAGGATTCAAGAACTGGAAGAAAAGGTCTTTTCTTTGATGTCCCAAGCATCCCAGAGACAGGTAAGAGCACAAGAGACTTTCTTTCATTATAATTAGTATTTTTTTAGAATTAGTATCTTTTATTATGAATTTTGAATCACTTTGTCTGCAAAGCTGTACTGGCTAACAATATAACAATACTGATAGGCCCTTCTGCACTCTGTGTAGAGTAACCTCTCCTGGGTATAGGGTATGGCCATAGAAAACATTTTACAAAGCCTCTCTGTGGTACTTATATTTAGCTGTGGAGGTTTCCATGGTGGCCTGTGTTATCTAGGGCTAGTTGTATACAGGGCCTTTCGGTCTCCCTGCTTATTGTTGCCATGCATCCTAAGTATATCCCAGGCCCCAGATACTTTATGGGCAGATCTTTGTCGGTCTTCTTGTGAGGTAGAAACTCTAGTTACTGTGTTGCTGAGGTGTGACACAGGCCCCGAGCACTAAATGAGGCAGGTCTTCCAGGATAGCCAGTGGACTTGTAGCCACCTTTGTTTTTATTGCTGGTGTTGTCAGTGGAAGTCTCTCAGGCATGAAAGCAGACATGTGTGCCTTTTACCTCTTCTCCCTGGATAGACTCATGCTCTGCAAATTCCCAGGGAAGGTTTGTTACCTTAGTGTTCATACATCTGTTCTGGGAATAACACTTGGCTCCCCTCAGAGAACTTCCTGTCCTGCCATAGCTTGGATAAGAGAGACACCTCTGGAAATCAGTAGGCTGAGAAGACAGAACTGACTTTGAAACTTCTTCGTTTTAAGATGTGAGAGGAACTGGGACTCTGAAGGCTGCCCACACTGTTCTGTTATGGGCAGCTGCTGGACCGCAGCTGCTGGACCTCATCAGCCTCTGCCTCCCTTCCTCTACACCAGGGGCACAAGATCCTGGCAGATACCTTTCTTCAGTTCCCTTGAGCTAAATTCACATCATGGGGCTGGATACAAGCACCACTTCTGGTGAATACAGGGGTTTTGTTTGGAACCTGTGTGTGCCCTTCCCTTAGTCCAAGGCCAACAGGGTGGTGCCAGTGGGCTTCAGTAGTCATAGAAGACCCTTCCTAGAGCCTTTGCTGTCCTTTTGATGTCATATAATGGAATGTGGGTGTTTCCCCATTCCCTGTTCTAGATCCAGCTTTTTCAGGGTGGTAGGGCCATATGAGGCTTTTCTCCTAAAGCACCAGGACTGTAGGGATAAGACAGAATCCTCTGTCCCATGGCAGGAATGGGATATTTTCTAACATGACTGTAGGTTTACTGGCTCCTTTGTGTTTTAGATTGCAAGGTCATTAAAGGTGCAGTCATGGTGGCCTGTCAGGCAGCCTTCCAGGGATGTGCCAGGGGAGTGACCATACCAGTTCTAGGCCTGCCGAGCCAGGTTCTCTGAGGGATTTCTGTTCAGACCCAAGGGCTAGATTTCTGGTGGGGACCAGGGCCTTTGCATTAGTTGTGGCCCCTCAAGCACCCATTGTTGCTTTACCCAAGGGGGACAACCATATGACAGTGGAGCTTAAGTATGAGTGATAAGACACTGTCCCTCTGAGAAAAATCCAAATTCAAATGAAAAGTAAAAACAAGACTGGGTGCTGGAGTAAGGCTCCCATACACATAGCAACGGGCACTACTGCCCAGTGCTTTGTGGCATTTGTTTATAGAGTACATGGACCAGGCTGTGCAAAGTGTGCACTCACGGCTGCCACTGTAGGTCTCAATGTCTAGTACATCAAATTACATTGAGGTACAGTGGGACTTAGTTTGCCTGCTGTTTTTCTCACTCTGATGGTAATGGGACATGGCGTCAGTGTCACTTCCTTCAGTGAATATCCGAAGGCTGAGAGCTCTAATCAGGCTTTCACTTAATGGATGGGGAGATAACTCCACTCAAGCCTGTTCTTTCATTAAATGACCAAGTACCTGTAGGATCTTTTCAGTCACTCACTCAGTACCTTTGTCTAGACAGCAAGAAGCAGTAGGATTTGAGGAATGAGGTCTTCCAATTTAAGCTTTTAGAAACTCCAGAGAGTAAAGTAAAATACTCTTATTCTTTTATTATTTTTTTCCCTGAGACAGGGATTCTGTGTGTTGCCCTGCTTGTCCTGGAACTCGCTCTGTAGACCATGCTGGCCAGCTGCCTCTCTGCCTCTGCCTCTTGAGTGCTGGGATTAAAGGTGTGCACCACCATTGCCCAGCTAATACCTTGATGCTTGACCTTTGTTCCACACTTTTTGGAGAAATTCCTGTAGTATGTGGACTGAGACCTGATGTTTGATGGAAGGGAGGTACAGAAGCGAGGCGATGGGATTTAAGTTCTACTCTGAGATATAGTGTGTCTCTAGGCTTGGTGACTTCTAGAATAGCCCATAGTAAACTGACCTTTGACTTCTCAGCAGGACTTCCAGGAGCCAGGACCCTGTTGGATTCATTCGGCGAAAAAAACTGCCAAGTACTTAGAGATGGATGCACTGGAGCATGTGGCACCTGGTAGCTGGAGGACTGCTCTTGGGTCCCAACAGGTGGAACTTCCTGCAGAGGGTGGGCATGTTCACACTGCCCACAGAGGTCAGGGTGATCTTCAGTGCCCTCACTGCCTGCGGTGCTTCAGCGATGAACAAGGCGAGGCATTCCTCAGGCACCTGTCCGAGTGCTGCCAATGAGTCAGAGCCCATTGTGGCCCCTGACCAGCATAGCTGCTCTAAGGGATTGGGTTGGTGTCCTTAGACTCAGTTCTCAACACAGTATGTTGCATTCTACGGGATCTAAGATACACAGATAGGCAGGGGCACTGATAGGTCATTTTTTGTTTTGCTTGGCCATGCATGGATCAGAGGCATCATGTGGGTATCAGTCTTCTCTCATGTGGAGTTTGTAACCCAGCTGTCAATTCAAAGCTGCAAACTATCTGGTGTGGGCGTATCCAGAGGCCTGCTTGCACCTAGAGTTGTGTTGCTTGCTGGAAGGAGAAGCTGCTGTGGGAGCAGGTGTCTTCCCCAAGGTGGGAGCTCAGTCCTCTTGTGAGGTGTCTCACCCCTAGACTGGTCTGTGCTGCACTTGTTGCCAGTATACTAGGGCCTTCCTAGACGGAACAGTCACATAGATGCACCCATTATCATCACCTTGCAATAACACCTGTATTTCCAGAAGTGAAGCACCTTTGTTTCCTAATCCTTTATTTTTATAATAAATGGACTTAGTTGCTGGGCAGTGGTGGCACACATCCCAGCACTTGGGAAGCAGAGGCAGGTGGATCTCTAAGTTAGAGGTCAGCCTGGGCTACAGAGTGAGTTCCAGGATAGGCTCCAAAGCTACACAGAGAAACCTTGTCTCAAAAAAACAAAATAAACAAATGGACTGACTACTGTGTTGCTCTGAGAATTGGGCTGAGATGTATACAGGGACGATTGGTGTTTTCTAGCTGCTTAGGAAAGACTAGTAAGGAGAAACATGCCTGCTGTCTTCCCCCAATTCAGAGGTCTCAAGGACAGCCCTGCCTGAATGGGCAGAGGCTGCCTTAAGATTTGAGGAATGAAGTCTACCAATTTAGTCTTTTTACCTGAGGAATTCCAGAGAGCTAGGTAAAAATACTGTAATCCCTGACCTATATTCCATACTACTTAAGAGAAACTCTTAGGTATGTGGATGGAAACCTGATGTTTGATGGAAGTGAGGAACAAGGAACAGATCATCCTTTGACAGGAGCAAGAAGCTGAGTTTGGAAATCTATTGATGCTCACATTTTTTTTTTTTTTTTGAGTGCACAGTATTCAGGCAAGAGGCCATTGGATAGTGACTGTATGAACCACTTTAGTGCTTTGCATTGGGCCTCTTCAGTCCTGGCTAGGTAATAAAGGAAAGGGGCAGGTATGAAGTAGGAGGCAGGCCATACTGAGAATGTTTTAGAAATACTAAGCCATGGTAGCATGTGATTGTGTTATGGTATGTCAAGTGACGGGACAAGAGGGAGCTCTTTGCTAAAAGAAGATTGTAATGTACTAAGAGTTTGCCATGTATTAATTCCATTCTTGTAACAGTTTTAGAAGGTAGTATCATTCTCATCACAGGTGAAGATGAGGCACCAAGGGGCTAAGTCACTCCACCAAGACCACAGGATTAAATGGCAGGACTCATATTAGAGACCAGGCATGGAGTAGAGTTGGCCCAAGATTGTGTCTATATGTGCTAAACATAGCAGAGCTGGAGGGGTAGGGATGCCCAAGGTGCCCAGTTGATGCCACCTAGATTTCCAGATGCCAGATAGTAATAGAATTGGTTTTGCTTTGGAATGGTATTTTCTTGTTATGGAATGTTTACATTGTGTCATTATATATTGGAAGTGTATAATCTGTCTTGATTTATAGGGGTTCATAGAGTACCTCGAGTCTCAGAAGAGACCCTGGACTTTGTAACAGTGTTGGGACTGGGCCCACAAGTTCCTTATCTTACAACAGCTTCAGTAAAAGATGCAGACCCAGAGTAGGGTGCTGATCTGGAGTAAGGCCCACTGGCACTTGGGGAGTTCCAGAACTCACAGAAAAACTGAAGACCCATGCAGCAGGCACCAGCTGACAAAGGACAATACGTGAACCAAATAGAAAGACTTGAGATAGAGCCTCTGGCGCCAAAACCAACCCCACAAAGGGAAATGTCACCTCAACTTTACTATAACTTAATTCTCTCCCGAGCATTGTAAATGTCATCCATCACTTAAGAATAAAGGGGATTTGAATATAAAAACAACAACAAAAATACAAAAGAAAGAAAAATTGAACCAACATATTAATTCCAGATGGGCAAGTCCCAGCATAGAAACAAAAACAACATGAAAAACCAAGCTGGGCACTGGTGGCACATGCCTTTAATTCCAGCACATGGGAAGTAGAGACAGGAGCATCTCTGTGAGTTCGAGACCAACCTTGTCTACAGATGGAGTTACAGGACAGGTTCCAAAGCTAAAGAGAAAACAAAGCAAAAATCAAATAGGTAGGAATGAAAATAAGTTCCCGACAGCATATTTTAGTTAGAACACAAAAACATATGCAAAAGACGAGGGTCAAATGACCTATAAAGGCAGGCCCACCAGAATAACACAATTATTTTGCAGATATTTTAAAGACAGAAGGACCTACAAATGTATTCTGAAATACAGAACACAACCATAAAACGGGATTATTATATCCAGCAAAACTGTCTATTAAAACTGAAGGAGATTTTAAAAACTTCCCATGTTACAAACAATCTAAAGAAATTTATGACCACTAAAGTCAGTTCTGTTGAAGAGAATGGAAGGAATATTTTGGTCTCGAGAAGTGTAAAATGAAAGGTGTCATAGGACAAAATATATAATCACAAGAGGTAAAAACACAAAATCAACAGACTGACAAGCCAATACACTTTCAATAATAATTGAATGCTAGTAGTCTTAATTTTTCAATAAAAAGATTGAATTAAGGCTTGATTACAAGACAGGATTCATCTTTATGCTGCTGCTAACAAATACATAAGACACACACCACCTTAATGTAAAGGGTGGGAAAAGGTATTCCAAGCAAATGGAACTAAGAAACAAGTAGGCATAGCTATCCTAATAGCTGACAAAAACAGACTTCAAACCAAAAGTAGAAGAGATTGGAAGGGCACTTTATACTGATCAATAGTACAGTCTATCAAGAGGACATTATAGCTGGGCATAGTGGCACATCCCTTTAATCCTCATTCAGGAGGCAGAGGCAAGCAGATCTGTATGAGTTGGCGGCTACCCTGGTCTACACAGAAAGGCCCTGTGTCACAAAAGAGAGAACATTATAATTCTGCCCCCTCCCCGTGTATGTATGCCTATATGTGTGTGTATGTATATACATATATACGGCAAATATTGCAAACATACTTTCATAAAACACAACTAGATGTAAAGCCACAGAGTAATCTTAATACAGTGATAGTGGATGACCTCAATACATCACTCTCACCAGCAGACAGGTCATCTCGACAAAAACTAAAGAGAAACACAAGTTAAGTGCCATCATAAATATAGTGGATATAACAGATGTTTATAGAACATTCCCCAAAACTGATCACTTATTATGACACAAAGCACGTCTCAATAAGTGCATGAAAATTGAAATAACATCCTATATTTTATCTGACCAAAATGGAATAAAGCTAGGTATCAACAGCAATAGAAAGCACACAAACTCATGGAAATTAAATAATATACTATTAAATGATGATGGGTCACTGATCAAGAAGGAAATTTAAAAGAAGTTCCCTGAGCAGAAAATTAAAACCAAAATCTATGGGACAAATAAAAAGAGTCCTGCCAGGTGGTGGTGTCGTACATCTTTAATTCCAGTTCTTGGGAGGCAGAGACAGGCAGATCTCTGTGAGTTTGAGGCCAGCCTGGTCCACAGAGCTAGTTCCGAGACAGCCAGGGCTACACAAAGAAACCCTGTCTTGAAAATCCAAGAAAAGGGTGGGGAGAGAGAAGAGGGAAGAGAGGGAGAGGGAGACGGGGAGGGGAGAGACTTATATGGTAAATGTCTTTATCAAAATATTTTGAGAACTCTTAAAGTAAATTGATACACCTTAAAGCCTTAGGAAAAAAAGAAGAAACCAAACCACAAGAATAGAGGGGGAGAAATAATCAAAAGTAGGCAGAAACAATTTAAAAAACTACAAAGAATCAATGAAATGAAGAGGGGATCCTTTGAGAAAATAAACAGAATTGACAAATCCTAAATTGGATCTTTTAAAAAGATCCAAACTAATAAAAATGAAAGGAAGGTATTAGAACAAATACCAATGAAATTCACAAAACCATGGAACATACCCTAAGAACATATACTTTTTTTTTTTTTTTTGAGATAGGATCTCTTTATGTAGTTCTGGCTAGCTTCAAACTCACAGAGATCTGTCTGCCTCTGCTTTCTGAGTGGGATTGTGCCAACATGCCTGGTACCTTCCAATTATGAAGCCAGTATTATTTTGATACTAAAATCAGGTAACTACCATAGGAAAATTAGACTGATCTCCCTAACAAATATAAATACAAAATCATCAATAAAATACAAACTGAATTTACCATCACATTGAAGAGCATTTATCATGACCATTTTGACTGTTTCAACCATGTAGGGTTGATTCAACATACATAAATGTAATTTGTAACATAAATGGACCAAAAGGAAAAAAAAAACCCACCAGAAATCACATGATAAACAGAAAAAAGCCTTTGACAATATCCAACATCCTTTAAAGATCAGAGTCATGCAAAGGCTAGACATAGAGGGAACATACCTCAATATAATAAAGACTATATATCCCAAACTTACAGGCAACGTCATACTAAATAGAGAAAAAGCATCAGGAACAAGAGTTCCCATTCCTTTCACTTCTATTTCATTCAGTGCTTAAAGACAGAATAATATATAAAGAGAAGGGATATTAATAGGAAAAGGAGAAGTATCTCCTTTTGCAGATGATATGATTCTATACAGAAGAGGTCCTGAAGAATCCACCAAAAAACCTCCTTGAGTTGATTATGTTCAGCAAAGTGACACACACAACCTGGGAATACATTTAAGGAAATTAAAGACCTCTGTAATGAAAGTTTTAAGACATCGAAGAAATATTAAGAAATACATTAGAAGATAGAAAGATACTCTTATACTCATTGATCAGAAGAATACTATGAAAAATGACCACCCCACTTAAAGATCCAAAAATTTATATGGCAGCACAAACCAAGATAGCCAAAACAATCCTGAATGAAAACAGTGTAGAATGTATCACACCTGACTTCAAGTTATACTAGAGAATATTAATTAAAAAAAGCATGATACTGGCACAAAAACGAACACACAGATCAATGGAATAGAGTTGAGGACCCAGATATAAGTCCAAGCAAGTACAGTTGACCCGAATTTTTACAAAGATACCAACTAGAGCCTACTCTCTCACCATGGAACACACAGATCAATGGAATAGAGTTGAGGACCCAGATATAAGTCCAAGCAAGTACAGTCGACCCGAATTTTTACAAAGATACCAACTAGAGCCTACTCTTTCACCATGCACAAAACTCAACTCAAACAGATCAAAAACTTCAACATAAGACCTGATGGTCTGAAAGTGCTAGAGGGAAAAGTAGATAGAGTACATGCTTCAATTTATGTGAACATGAATGGGCTTTCTCAATAAGACTCCTATCTCATGGGAAATAAGACCAACAACCAACAAATGAAATCTCATAAAACTAAAGAAACTGAAGTAACTCGATGGCCTACAGAATGGGAAAAAAATCGCTGTCAGCTATACATCCAGAAAAGGATTAGTGTGTAGAATATATGAAGAACTAAAAAAAGCTAAACATGGTGGGTTTGGTGGCACAAGCTTTTAATCCAGAACTTGCTTTTAACCCCAGCCCTTAGGAGACAGATGTCTGAGTCTAAGGCCAGCCTGGTCTACATATTAAGTTCCAGGGGAGCCAGAACTAAAAAACAAAGCCACAAACTTTAAATAAGATTTAAAAAAAAAAAAACAAAAAAAAACGCTAAGCATTAAAAACAAAAACTCAGTGAAACAAATGGCCTGTGGAACTGAAGAGCTTCCAACAAATTTGTATTATCTTCAGGACTGGTGATGCCACTCTGACTGCATTCTTGTCTACATTCATGAGATCTTGGCTTCCATTCCCAGTGCACGTGTGTATGTATGCATGCGTGAACCATTTTGACTACCAATTCAGGTGCTTTTTATCCTCTACCTTTTCCAGAACTCTAGTACCACAATTAGTGCAGTAGACTGCAGGCCACTTCTTTTACACTTCAGTTTTCCTCTCAGCCATCCACTTTTAAACTGTTTATACACAAGCCATAAATTCATCAATTTCTTCTGTGGGTAGCTCCACCTAGGGTATTTTTTCATGTATTTTTTTTTTTAGAAGTTTAATTTTTAATCTTTTTCTTCCTTCACAATGATTTGTTGTTTTTCAAGACAGGTTTCTCTGTGTAGCGTTGGAGCCTGTCCTGGAACTTGCTCTGTAGACCAAGCTGGCCTCGAACACGATCTGCCTGCCTCTGCCTTTGAGTGCTGGATGAAAGGTGTGAGTCACTCTGCCTAATTTATAATTGACATCTTAAACTTCCTGGCTGTAAACTCATCTATCCCTTTTGGGTTTCTTCAAATAGGAATTTCTCCTAAGTCTGCATCTTTTTTGCTTTTGGCATAGACTGAGAAAATCCAACTGGGTGCCAACACTGAATTTTACTTGACTAAGACGGAAAATGTTTGGGGGTAAGCAGTAAGGCTAATTTGATCCTAAGGTGTTTTGTTGTTTCAGAATTTATTCTCCTAGTGTCATCCCTCTATTGGATGATGCCCTTCTGAGGACATACTGGTACCCAGGCAAAAACAATAGCAAAATTCCTGCACTTCAACAACCAGGCCTCATTTGGAGCTTTCATCTGTAATGAACCATGGTGCCTTTCACAAATGGCCAGCCAGTCTCTAAAAGCTAGATGTGGTGGTGAATGCCTTTAATCCCAGCATTTGGGAGGCACAGGTAAGCAGTTTTCTAAGTTCGAGGCTAGCCTGGTCTACGGAGTGAGTTCCAGAATAGCCAGGACCACACAGAGAAACCTTATCTCCAAAAACCAAAACCAAACAAATGGCCAATCCTAGAAAACAATTCGTTGTATTTACTATGGGATGGTTGCCTGTGCACCCAAATATGTACCCCATTCAAACAGCCTGTGAGGTAAGACCAAGTAAACTTCCTGCTCAGCAGCTCTTTATAGAACATCTACTTCCTCCCAGTGGTGTGACTAGGGACTTCTCTTTACATTTTTTTTCCCCTTTTTGTCTGTACATACCTTTGAAAAATGTTTTACCGTTTGTCACCAGTCTTCCATATACCATTTTGCACGAGACTTCACATTACAGTGTCTTCCCCTCCTATTTAAGAGAAATGATGAAAAAGTCTTGCTATCTTCAGTTGACCTGCTGCCTGGATTCTTGTAACTTGTGCGAATGATTCAGGTGAAAGCCTTGGTGGCTCTTTAGCTTGTCTTAGCTCCAGAACCTCAGCCACAGCAGCCTCTCTTCCTCTATCCATTCATGGACTCTTTGTTGGTTTTTCTTCGGTGCTGAGATATGGACACTGCCTTCAGACAGAAACTATGCCCTCCAAGGGCTCTTCAGGTTTCCTGTCCCCTGTCAGTCATGTGCTACCCATATCAAAACACTATGGCAGGAGGAATCTCTGCAAGCTGGTCCCTCCTAGGGTCCCTGTTCAGTGTATATATGAGCATGTGACAGAGACAGCAAGTAGCCAAATTTCTCATTCATCTCTGAACTAATACCACATTCACCATGAGGTAGATCCAGAACAATGCTATTATGGGACTACAATGGAACCAAGGCATATTCAGTTGACATCTGGGACAACTTATAAGGCTTTGTGTTTAAAACACAGACAGAAAACATGACTACTACTCCTCACTGCCACAGATATACAGCCAGGCATGCTGTCAAAACCTGTTATAGTGCCAACCCAGGAGCTATTCAGATCAGCCCAGTCTTAGACAAAGAACAATAAAAACCCTTGTAGGCTGCAATAGCATGGTAGATGTTGCTGCTAATTTTATTGTGTGTCATGTGCCCCCCCTCAATAAGTTTTAAAAAATGAGCTGTCCTTGGGAGGCAGAGGCAGGAGAATCTCTGTGAGTTAGAGGCCAGTCTGGTCTACAGAGTGAGTTCCAGGACACCCAGGGCGCTCTCTCTCTCTCTCTCTCTCTCTCTCTCTCTCTGAAACAAACAAAAGTCCTTTTAGAAAACAACTTTGCTGTCATGTCTTGTGGAATGAGGGGGCCACTGAAGAGCTTGTTGCTACTTAGATTTGAGGTTTGTCACATACTCACCATAGAGAATCCTTGTCTTATAGAGCAGGTATCTTCCAAAACTACTTATTCCAAAAGATGCCAAGTTAGCAGTAACACTGTTACTCAGAGATGCATTCAGAATGTATCCCCCTCAAGCCATGAAGTGCAGATACTAACACTTGCCATCTAAATACAAGCCTTATTCATATTTCCTCAACAGATACAAAAGCAAGATAGACTTAATGGGTAAAGGAAATGATTCATGCCTTTTCACTTCATATTTTGGTGTTTGATTCTCTTTAGTAGCATGGGTATATATGGTGGTTTCAATGAGAATGGTTCACAAATTGGTTCATGTTTGAATACTTGGTTCCCAGTTGGTGGAACTCTTCCAGGAGGATTAGGGGGTAAGGCCTTGCTAGATAGGTATCACAGGAGAGGGCTTTGAGGCTTCAAAAGTATAGCACCATTCCCCATCTGCTTGCTACCACATTCCCTGCCATTTCATAGACTCTAACCTTCTGAAACTGTGAGCCCCAAATTAAACATATTTCTCTGTAAGTTACTTTGTTCATGGTGTCATATCATAACAGTAGAAAAGTAGGTAAGACAGTATATAAAGTTCAATGAAAAGATTTCCAGCTAATGTTTTTCCAGCTTTTAACTTATTTCATTTCAGATTTATATTGAGTAAAGGAAATAGTGAAACACAAAACTCCCCTGGAGCTTGCCCACAGGCTCTGGCAGGAAGTCTTCAGCCTCCCTTGGCCAATGCACACTTTGAGCTTTGGTTCCCCATCTAGAAGTGGAATGACCACTCTCCTGAGTTGCAGGCATCCTAGCAGCCTCTGTAGCACTGAAAGAGTTGTCCTCAGGATTTCCTCACCACCTATTCTCCCCTCTCCATCTACTGGGCCCACAGGCTTCTATCTTCTTTTTGTTCCTCAAACTGTCAAGTTATGAACCCTTGATGACAGAGCTAAAGAAACTTGGAGTTTCCAGGGAAACAGAAAGCTCATTCCTGGCGGTAAATGGCATATGGCTAGGAAGTGTGAGGAACTGGCCTACAACATACCACTGTGGATCTATAAGTGCTCAAGATCTGAAGGATGGGTTCTGAGTGTCCCAACATGGTACTTCCTGTTGGGATACCCAGGTTTTCCCATCACCATTATACTGCTAACAGTTCCTGCTGATGCTATAGCTGTAGACCCTGGGTTCCTTTTGGTAGATGGCTTGGCTCCAATGGAAGAAGTGGAGGGCCAGCGAGGTAGTGTCTGGGGTCTCCCCTGGGAGGCAAGCCCAATGCTAGGCCTCTCTAGCCACTTCCTCAACGAGGAGATAATTCCAGTATCCCTGGGGACAGAACCAGAATCTTTGCCCTTTCAAGAACACTGTTCATTGCAAGGTCACAGCCCTGCCTGTTTTTCTTTGTTGAACTATCCCAGGAACACAGGGATGTGCTGCTTTCTCACCTGGAAAACAAAAGAAAAGAAGGCACCCTATTCCACACCTCCTCTGGGTACTGATTATCTTACTTTTCTCTGGTGCAAATCTCCAGAAGGTTAGGACTCACTGTCCCCTCCCTCCCACAACTGGCTTCCACTGGCTTGTCACTGTCATCCTAGGCCTGATATCTTCCCGCCTCAAGTCTCAGCTATCCTTCTCCTGGGCACTGGATGTTTCAATGCTGGAAAAGTATGAGCCATGTAGTTTGCTGAGGTGAGTGTAAACTAGATGACAACCCAGAGGCAACAGTGTGAGCTGTTAACTGCCTGAAGGGACAAAGATGGGACTAACCAAGCCAGGAGTCCTTTTTCACTTTTCAATACCATTTACTTTGTTCCTAATTTAAACCCAATTAAGCATCCCTAATTTATCATTTTTACTACAGACCACAAAGCCTTTCCTCCACAAAATGTGGACAGGAACCAGCATACAAGGCCATAGGCAACCCCTTGTTCCATGCTACAAAGGCTGTCTCCACTCCATGTCCCAGTGACCAGGATATGACCCACCACCCCATCTTGACCTTCTTGGTACTTCATGGAATGAACATGTGAAGGCTAATCATTTGGTTGACTGTGACCTGCTGACTGCTCTGTTCTGGTACCTGTGCCAACTTTGTGTTCAAAAGACAACTGAGGGTACCAGGAACCCTGAGACCTAGGAACATTAGAAAATGACATTAGGGGTGGTGGCCTTGGCTCTCTGGGAACAAATATCACCCAATTGTTACCTCCCACCACACCCATCATCCCCAGCAGAAAGCAACCAGACTGGGTCTCCTGCTGTACTAATGTATTCCATCTTTCAAAAAGAAAGACATGATTTTAATATTACTTAACAATATGTTAAAAAAGTAGCCAGGCAGGCCTCCGTGTTAATACGGTTGTACGCTCTAGAACAGACTTGATGGTGTGAGTACTGGGTGGGTTTCTTGTTTTTAACATTCTCATTCTGCAAAGGGTCTTACACAAGCTGGCTACAAGTCAGGGGGTCAAACACAAACAGCGCAACGTGTACACTCGGAAACAGTAGATTGTGAAAGAGTACAAAGGAGGCCTGCCCGCCCAGTCCGCCTTGGGTGGGACACAGGGCACATGGGAGCTGAGGGATGGCTGACACCCTGGCGGGGACAGATGACAGAACAGGGCAAGATGCAGAGGCGACAGAGTCACATGGATGATGCAAACTCGTCTCTGGCCACGGCCCAGGCCTCTGAGGCCGTGGTAGTGGAGGAATTGGCGGGAACTACTGTTCCATTCCAACAGCACAGAGCTACAATCAAAGAAGTCTCACTCACAGACTACACGCACACAAGCTAACAACGCAGGTCGAGCAGCAAGTTCTCGGTCTGGGGGTTATCAGTCCACGGCATCCCGCCCTACACACCCTGGGTGGGTACCGAAGCTCTGTGGAGCCACTGAAGGGCTTGGCTCTTGAGTGGCGCAGCCCAGCTGCCTCCCACATATCCCTCTTCAGGCAGTCCTCATTCAGTGGGCAGCAAAGGTGGCTTTCTTCAAGCTAAAGTTGGACCAGTTGATGGACAGTCTTTGTCGGTTCTGTCTAGCAGAGTCCAAGCAGAATCTGGCAAAACAAAATGGCAAATTGTCACAGGACAGAGACTATACCCAGTCTGGTAACCATTATGCCAACCTCTTATTCTTGCTAGCAATTCACTGGAGAGACTCAATGAGGTTTAAGGTCAAAAGTCTCCATGCTTGGAGGAGTGGTACCACCCTGCCCAAGTGGCTTGTGCATCTTCTGGTGCTTTCTGACATTTGATACTGTGTTTAGGGGAGGATCAAGACAGTATTAAAAAAAAAAAAAACAACCCCCCCCCAGCACTTAGTATAGGACAAAATGTACCAAGCATCACTGAAGGGTTCAAGGAAAGCTCTTCTCATGTGACCATCTGAGAGCAGCTGACATTCAGTCGTTACTCTGCCAGAAAAAAGGGGCTAGGGGGTTGCCACTTCCCTATTTCAGAGGCTCCTAGGGACTGATGTAAATTCTGATACTCTGTCTAAGCTACTACCTAAGTCATACCCTGATGACCCATAGGAGTTTGGAACTGCTGGGCAGCATCAGGCCAGAAGTCACTACACAAGAAGTAGGACTCCAGGGCAGCCCTACAATAGGTCTTCCTGTGATAAAGTCTTGTTCAATAGCATGAACTCACTCAAAACAACAAATATGTTCAGGGTAAGAAGCTACCAGCTAGCTCAGCCTCCACAGCAGCTGTGAGTCTCAGAAAGGAAGGCACTTGTGGTCACTGTGGTTGGGCAGGAGAGTCACAACTAGGGTCAATGGCAGATGCCCACTTGACCAGGATGTGCCACAAGAGACGCTAGAAGAGCAGGCTACTAAGTTTAAGGATAACGTTGCCAGGAGCCAAACCAAAACTTCTGTAACTGACCAGAAAGTGTGACAAGCTTCGTAGACATAATAGTCTGTGGCAATTTGGCACCAAGCTTAAATGACACACAGGGAGCCGTGGTCACACAGACTCAGCTGGTATCTCTGGTGTTCATGTGAAACAACATCTAAAGAATGAAATCCAAAGTCTGTATAATTTTTGTACATCCAAAAATATTTGTTCCCCAACTGATTCAATGTGCACATTCTCTTAGCTCAGCAGTCACACAGAACCAAGGGCTGGCTGGGTATGGCCCATAGCCTGCATCAAGTGGATTGAATCAAAGGCAACAGCTAAGCCCATGTGTAAAGTTGAGATTTTGGCCTGTCTTAAACCTATTCACAAAAGAACTTACTACAATGGGACAGATTACAATACTCTGGCCCTCCACTTCATCCAAAAAGACATGTCCTCTGTATGTGAAGGTCTTCAGGCTTGAACCATCTGCAAGCTCTGTGCTCTGAGCCATAAACACTGGAAGTTAAATAGTTTCTGAAAAAGATCACCCTTTGGGGATGGGGACAGCCCAGTGACAAATGCATAACTGTTCTTCCAGAGTATCCACTTTTGGTTCCCAATACCCATTTTGGGTGGTTCACAACTTCCTGTAACTCCAGTTCCAGGGCATCTAATAGATCTTCTATCCTCTGAGAGCATTCCCACATGTGTACACATACACACCCAAAACGTTAAAATAAATCTCAAAACAAAACAAAACAAAACCCGGGACTACTCTTTTCCCTGTTTTTCAGGCAATGACAGCCAATTTGTATATTAATGACAGAAAGGGTATTTTCTTGGTTTGAAGACTTGCATAATTTTTCATTTTCACCATTCCAGCTCTGATTTAGGAAGCAGAAATTATAATGAAACATAAAATGATGGTTTTCAGGTGTTTTAAATAATTGTGTTTAAACTGTGGTCCAATCATTCAACCTGTGGCTGCCCAGCTACAAGCTAAAAATCTTGTGGCCTATATTCAGATGGGGAAAGAACAAGTCTCTGCTAGGGAAGGGCTGTGCTATCTCAGCTCCAGAATCCAAACTCCTTTTCCCTGGAGCTAACCTTCTACACCTCTACTATCTCCTTTCCAATTGTCTCCCACAGTATGGGCTCTGTCCTAGGCCCCTTTCCTTACTTAGCAGTAAGAATAACCAAAGACAAGTGACGGCAGCACACGCCTTTAATCCCAGCACTCGGGAGGCAGAGGCAGGCAGATCTCTGTGAGTTTGAGACCAGCCTGGTCTACAGAGCTAGTTCTAGGACAACCAAGGCTACACAAAGAAACCCTGTCTGAAAGAAAAAAAAAAAAAAACAAAAAACAAAAAACAAAAAGAAAGGGGGGAAAAAGAAATATCTTACTCCTTAAATGGGCTGGAGAGATGGCTCAGCGATTAAGAGCACCGGCTGACCTTCCAAAGGACCCAGGTTCAATTTCTAGCACCTGCATGGCAATCCACAGCTGTGTGTAACTCCAGTTTTAAGTGATCTGATGCCTTTCCACAGACACATGGAGGCAAGCACCAATGCACATAAAATAAAAATAAATCTTAAAAAAAAAAAGGATGCCCAAAGCCATTCAGAGAACAAGCTCAATCCTTTCCAAGGCAAAGGTTATCAGAGGCTTAAGAGCATACAACACACGCTGTTCCCCAAAAGAACCCGGGCCCAGCAAGTGAATAGGCCATCCACACCCAAGATCCAGATCAATCAGGTTTGCTGTTACTGGACCCCATCCTGCATGCACCATACTCATGTACATACAGGATACCAGGTTGCAGAAGCCCCAGTGAACATCCCAATCAGGCCCTTGCTGTCCTGGTATTTGAGAGTGAGGCCTCATCATACTTGGCAGCTCTAGGACTTCTGTGTGCATACTCAGCAGTGGACTGGCTGTACTGTCTGAGCATCTGCATACTGAATTATACTGAGTATGTTTTGGTTTGTTTGTTGTTAACCTTATTGTTTCTACTATTCAATGTTATAGCTGAACTTCCTCCACAAGGCAAGTCTGTTCAGTTGACTGCCAAGTTTTATAGAGGATAGGTAGATGGTACTATAGAAGTAGTTCTTGCTACCTTCTGTGCTATGTGGAAGGTACTTTACTCATACTAGGCCCTGTCAAACTCCTCCTGGGAACTGTTAAGAGCTGCTTGGCCCTGCATCACTCCCTCAAACCTCATGTAGAGCCTGCCTTGTGTTTACTGCCCACACATACACTGCGGGATTGTGCTGGCTTCTAATTGGTTTGTTTTCCAATATTCTATAATCTTCCTTTAAAATTTGTTTTAATTCAGCATACAAATGGTTTTAGTATGAAATCTTCCCAGTTGTATTAATCACTTTGCTCATACTTAGTTTTGTCTGTCTTCCTCCAAATGACATTGTTTTATTCCTCTTCATCATTCCTGACTCTGTCCTGTATAATGTTCTGGAAAATATTTTCCCTCACTTTCTTGAAGACAAATCCTTGCTACTGAAGTAGTATCATTTACCAGGCTCTTATTTTATCTTATTTTGAGATGGGATCAAGCTTTGCTGCCCAGACTTAAGTCAAATGAGCCCCTTGTTTTAGCCTACTTGTAGAAGAAAAAATGCAGGTATGTACCTCTGCGCCCAGGTTATGGCTCAAATATAGGAAAAGTTTCCCTATTCTGACTTCAGAAACATTTTTTTCCCCTTCAGATAAAAGGTTTTATTTTGCAGGGAGGTAGTGCTAAGAAACAAACCCTGTTTTCTCTGCATTATACCTATAACCCAGCCAAAAGTTTGCTTTTGACATTTAAAATCTTCACCCCTAGGCTAGGAGCACTTGCTACTCTTCCAGAGGACACAAGTTCAATTCCCAGCACCCACATGGCAGCTCACAACTGTCTGTAACTCCAGTTCCATTGATCTGACACCTTATACCAATGCACATAAGATAAATTATATATATTAACCCTTTCAACAAATGGGTGTGGAAGGGTGGTGGTAGCACATGCTTTTAATCTCAGCACTCAGGAGGCAGAAACAAGAGGATCTCTGAGAATTCAAAGCCAGCCTGGTCAACAGAGTTAGTTCCAGGACATCCAGGGATACACAGAGAAATTCTGTCTCATTCAAAAAAGACCCAACAACAGAATGGTGTGGAATGGGTATCCAATTTCAGTTTTTCCTTTTAGATGAACAACTTCACAGCCCCATCTATGAAAACCTTCATTTCTAAAGCAATCTTCCAATCCATCTTCTGTCACATACCAAGGCCAGAGCTTTCAATGAAGCTGTTTCTGGGCTTTTTCTTCTGTGTGGCCATCAAATGTCTTAATGAATGGCTTCTACAACTTTACATTTGATAGGGAAAGTAGGCTCCCTTGTTCTTATTCTTCTGGGAAAGTATAAGCAAACCATAACTATCCCTTTTGTAAAATGTTGCATACACCAACAACTGAAAACACATAATGAAACTAGGATGCAGAAGCCCTATGGACAGCCCCAATGCAACCCCCGGCTGTCCTCACAACTGAAAAGTCAGGCACACACTCCATCAGCTGCTGTGGAAAATCTTCCTTGGTGCTGCACAGAAGACAGCTGTTCTTAATGTGGAATGGAATTCTACTGGAGGGACATAAAGTTTCTGGTGATTACAAACAAGATAGGAAGGCATGTATATGAAGCCACACAGGCTGGCAACCATTTCTCAGGCAGCTGCCCAGAAGCATGTTATACTGCTTCTGGTGGGCATGTTATACTAAGCACTCCCATTCTGCTTGCTCTTAAACTTTAAATAGCATTTCACATATATCCATCTGTGTCTGTCTCTACCAGGAGCGACTGAATTCTGCTCCTTGGTGCTACCGAACAGCCTCCTCTCCATGACTCAATCACAACTTACTCTAATATGCTTTAGGAATACAAATTTCATGACTGCAGTGCTTTGGTTGACTATATCTATAATCAACTAAAACCCAAGCAGCTGGGCACTCCTGAGAGAGATTTTCTTGATTGGCTCATTTGAGGTAGGGAGATTGATGTTAAGCCTGGGCTACACTTTTTAGTGGACATAAGAGGAAGAAAACTGCTTTTTTGCCTGCTTGCTCTCACTCTAGCTGGCAAGTCCATCTATCCTGTTACCGAAACATTGCTTTTCTGGTAACAGAACTCAATTCTTCAGGATTCCAACATAGATTGAAGACTAGCAGCTCTCTAGGAATCCTCTGAGAGGCCAGTACCAAATTGGGACTGCTGAGACCTCCAGTTTTGTAGCTTTTCTATTGGAAGACAGTCATTGTTGGACTAGCAGCACCACAGTCTATAAGCCACTCTTATAAATCCTCTCTTTATGTCCATATTTATCCTATCAGTTCTGTTCCTCTAAAGAACCTTAATACAGGACCATTCTTGAAGTTTAACTCTACAGACAAAATCTAGGAAATTCAATAGCTTTATGATGTTAACTCTTCCTGTCTTTGAACAGAATCTGTGGGTAAGGCGTTCAGTTTTTTTTTTTTTAATTTTATGTGTTTGCATGTTTTGCCTGTATATTTTTAATGTGCACTACATACATGCCTAGTGCCCAAGTAGGCCAGAAGAAGGTACTGGATCCCCTGGAACTGGAGATATAGATGGTTGTGAACCACCAAACGAGGACTGGGAAATGAACTCAGGTCCTCTCCAAGAGTATTCATGCTTTTAACGGCTGAGCAGTCTCTCCAGTTCCAGTGAGGTTTTTGTTTGTTTCCCTTTTTAGACATTTTTTTTCCTTCCTTACTATGTATGTGTGTCAAGGTACAAGTGTGGAATAGAGGAAGACTTACAGGAGATGGTTTTCTATTTCTTCCATGTAGGTTCTAGGGATTGAATTTAGGTTATCAGGCTTGGCAGCAGGTGCCTTTACCTGTTTAGCCATCTAGCTGGCCCCCTTTATAGTCCTATTTTTTTAAAAAGCCCCCTAAATTTCTATGTATAATTCTTATATAGCCTCGAATAGCTACAACCATGGGTACTGGAGTGATCTGGATAGTATGTTAAATGCTATCCACATCACCCGTCCCCATCTGTCCTGTTTTTGTCTTTTGGAGGGAATCTAGGACCTCACACAGCTAAGTAGGTTCCCTACCAATGAGATAAATCTCCAGCCCATAAATGCTAGATCTATTTAAACAATTTCAAATTATTGATTGTGTAGAGAAAAAAAGTTAACTTCTATAATGACCCACATAGCTAGCCCTTGTGATATGATCTTTCCCATTTACTATGTAGTCAAAAGATAATCTATAAAATAGTTTTACTTCCTCAAATTGTTTAACCTTCCAGTTTCTTTTTCTGTACTGCCTAGGAATCACAACTGAAGGCTGAGAACAATGTGGAAAAACACAGTAACTTTATTTTATACATGCTTCTTTCTTCCCAAGTAGGGAACTGTTTTCTACAGAATGTTTTTCTCCTTTGTATTAGTCAGGGTTTTCTAGAGGAACAGAACTGATAGAATGCGTGTCTGTATATGTGTATTTATGTTTGTTACTTATCAGAGTGATTTACAGGCTGTGGGTCCAGCTAGTTCAACAATGGCTGTATACCAATGGAAAGTCCAAGAATCCAGTTCAGTCCATGAGGCTGGGTGTCTGAGCTGGTCTTTAGTATCCACCAGAATCCTGAAGAAGTAGACTCTAATGCTAGTGAAGGCACCTATTTGCCAGTGAGAGGGAGAGGAAACAGGCAAAGAGAGTTTCCTTCTTCCATG